CCTCCCCTCCCCTCCCCTCCCCTCCTCTCCTCTCCTCTCCTCTCCCCAAAGTAGAGTAATTCTGTGTCCCTGCATTCCTCTCTTCCTCCACTCGGTGATTTCCCCTACTTCTTCCTATTTCACAATCAAGCCAACCTTCCTTATTATTATGGCCATCAATTGCTTCAGATATTTTATGTCTAGATATTTAACACCATGTACTATTGTTTGCTTTTGTTAGGCAAGACCAGAACAAAAGACAAGTACCGTGTTGTATATACAGACCACCAACGCTTGGAACTTGAGAAGGAATTCCACTATAGCCGCTATATCACCATCCGGCGGAAAGCAGAGCTGGCAGCAGCCCTTGGACTCACTGAGCGGCAGGTGGGTGCAGCAGGGACTTCTCCAACTGTAAATCATCACCCCATTTTCAGTTTACACAGGCTTGTCAAGCAGAGCTGCCAGGTACATGTTCAGGATATTTACTATAATCTTATGCAGACATACCTTGTTTTATTGTACTTCGCTTTATTGCACTTTGCAGATATTGCATTTATCAAACATGCTACAGAGAAATCTTTTGTGAAAGGAAGAGTCAGTTCTATTGCACAGTCAACAGACTACAGTATAGTGTAAACAATAACTTTTATATGCACTGGGAGACCAAAAAAATTGTGTGACTTGCTTTATTGCGATATTCACTTTATTGCAGTGTTCTGGAACCAAACCCGCAATATCTCCAAGGAATTCCTATACAGTACATATAGAAGTTTATATACATTTGGGAATAAGCCATAGAATACAGAATGGACTTTTAGATAAACATTAAGAATGGTGAATCCATTTGTTTGATTCTCATTTTAATTGGTTCCTGAACTATCATATGAATAAAAGTGCACTCGTATTTCTGTATACACACTTTTCTGAAATCTGCAATGCAGTTCCTGAATGAAAATATGCAACAGCTTGACCAATCATTCATCTTAAAGGTAAAATGCTATATATTAGGAGAAACTGTTTTCCTAAACTCTTTATTAGTCTCACTGCCTTCATTTGTCTCTGCAGGTGAAAATCTGGTTCCAGAACCGGCGAGCAAAGGAGAGGAAAGTGAACAAGAAGAAGATGCAGCAGCAAACGCAGCCTGCCAGCACAACCACGCCAACCCCGCCAGCAGTTGGCACTCCTGGCCCAATAGGAGGCATCTGCAGCAGTACCACCAGTCTAGTTTCCTCCTCGCCAATGACTATCAAGGAAGAATTTATGCCTTAAACCCAGCCTTTCCACTAGGTCTTCAGACTAACTTACCCAGAATGATATGGATTACCCCGAGAGTCAAACTAGCAGTCAGGCTCTCAACACTCACACTGATGGAACCCAGTGGCTTTTTGTATATGCGACTCTACTGGACAAATATAATCAACTCATTCCTAGGAATTAAAACAAAATCGGCCTGTTGCTATTTAGGAAAAGACTTGCTATTGTCTCAGAGTATTTAAGGGGAGGAAGCATGGATGTTTGGGAGGAAAGAAACAGAGAATCAGTGTACTTAGAAAAAATCTGATCGGATCTGGATCAGAATCGTTGAGGGTCAGGTGACATACAAGTTTAATTAATTATTAAATTATATTTTGTCAGCCTCTGGGTTGGGCCACAGTCATCACTTAGGCCTTGTTAAGTGGGTCAAAAAGGCAGGAGCCAAGTTACTTATTTCAAGCCCAATCCCAGCCAGTTTATAGACTCATTCAGGTCAGATGACAGAGGCTGAGCCCACATTCTAGCTATATGTATACCATTAGGAACTAAAGTCATACTAAAGCCTAAGTAGGCAAGAGAAACCAGGTGGGGAAAGAACATGACAATCAAGATGGCAGAAACTAGCCAAAGACCTTAACGAGGGCAACACTCCTCAAGAGAGGAAAGCAAGTTAGTTTTTGGCTTCCACAGAGCATGAATGCCCAAAGTCAAATGTTGTTTTCTTGCAAATTTTAATTGTGCACATATTCCGCGTCAGAGGCATCTGATTTGGTTTTTGCTTTGAGACACTTAATTTATAAACTCTTGTTTGTCCCATTTCCTCCCACCATATTCTTGCACAGCGTTTGGATGTTGAGGATGATAGTTTGGACTGACAACCTGCTTAGGAAGAGATTTGTCTGTTACTGCCTCTGGATTAATATGCCTGCTGGGTGAGGATTCTGGCACCTGCAGTCCCAATCATCAGGGGAAGCCCTAATGAAAGGTTGCCCTAAAACTTCCCTGGCTGTAAAGCAGTGTTTCTCAACCTTGGCAACTTCAACATGTGTGGACTCCCAGAATTCTTCAGCCAGCATGCTGGGGAAACTACACAACTTGAGGTTGCCAAGGTTGAGTAACACTGCTCTAAACCATAGGAACTGTGGACCACAGTACTTCATCTTCATGGTCAGCAGTGCATTTCATGTGTGTGAACTCAATCATTGTGGGGTTTGTAAATATAACTTATGGCATAATGTTATGCACTAACTAGGCCACTATGTCTTATTTAAGAACCATGGTTAAAACAATGTCTTCCCACAATGTGGGAACTCAGCCATTAATTATTTGCCTATCTGAGTAAAGGAGCAGAATGAATCAGTAAGACCAGGATTCCACTTTTCATTGACTTGCTCTGCTGTCGATACTCTAATCAAACTTGTAGGAAAACTTCACCAGTTCTTTACATTCGATATGGGCATCTTCTTTGTGTGACTATAGCTGACAGAAGAGGGCACAACGTGGAAGTGGTACTCTCAACAAAATCAGCTTATTCCCCCCTTACGCCTTTGGCTGAGTTCCACTAATAGCAACAAATTACATGCAGCAGAGCTGCAGAAAATATACATTAGCTGGATTCACACATTGCATTAATCCATGGTTTGTTGAACAAGCAACAGTGGCAGACCACAATGACCAGGTTCACACAAACAACAGTGGCAAATGACAATGGCCGAGTTTACCTATTAACAAAGCGAAAACTAAATTATCACACAAGCAAACCACATTGTGCCTTGACATGGAGTGTGAACCTAACCAATAAAATGAGGCTAGTAGTGATCAAGAAAGCCAGACTATATTTTGGAGCAGGTATCTCTTACTGATCTGCATACACCTAATAACAGCAAATAAAAAGATAACACTGGGGTGAAATTTAACATTTCCTGATTCCTTTTCCTCCTTTTCAAGCTTGGCATAAAGCAATGCTTCTCAACCTCAGCAGCTTTAAGATGTCTGAACTTCGACTCCCAGAATTCCCCAGCCAGCATCTTAAAGTTACTGAGGTTGAGAAACACTGGTGTAAAGCTTCATGGGTCTTTCCCTGATTGACAGTAATATACTGCAGTTATATAAAGTGAAGTAAAATGTGATCCTTTTATTTAAAAAGCCAAGAGAAAGTGGAGGAGGTGAAGATAATTTGTTTTCCCTGAATAGCTGATTGGATTGCTTTCTTTCTGTCACCCCCTCTGATATTTGGCTTTGAACTAATTGCTCTCCTCTTGTAAGGTGCCTAACTCTTCCTTCCTCAACTCCAGAATCTGCAGTCCTTGGTAATGCAAACACTGATGTTTATATTTCTTCATTATGCTGCTCAGGTTGGGCTTGTTTGGGTGTGTTTTTAAGGTAATTTTATAAGCCTAAATAAATTAAATAATACATCTTTTAGGTGTTTGTAATTACCCTTCGGTCTTTTTTACGAAGTACAGAAAATTTGTGAGTTCCCTCTTTTGAAGTCTGGAGCTGAGGACAGAGATGATGATGATGATGATGATGATGATGATGATGATGATGATAATAATAACAATATCCCACCTTTATTTTTGTACGACTCAAAGTGATGTACATAATACTTCTGCCTTCTACTTTCCTGATGAACAATCCTGTGAGGTGGGTTGGGTTGAGAGAAAGTGACCGTATACATTTTTTAACTTAGAAAACAATAGATAGACACTCTCAGTGGTAAGACAAAGGATATTTTTTAATGCTACAAATTATTAGACTTGAATTATTAAATGGCTTTGAAATGTTTCATGTCTGTGTTTCTATAGGCAGGAGATTTTGTACCATCGTACTCATTTCAGTGGTAAACAGGGCTTTCCTCTGGCTTGATTTGTGCTAGAAGCTAAGAATGAATGCATCTATTCTTCATAGGGGATATTTGTGGAATATTTTTGTTTCATGTTTGAGATTTAGTCTACTATATTTGGACTCAGTATCAGTTCCATTATGCTCCTTGGCACTTTGGATCTTAATCCTTTGGACTGGTTTAATTAAACTGTGCAATAAGTCACACTACTAAAACTTGTTTCAAGCACATTTGTTTCTCCTGCCCCAAAGGACTGGTGCAAGGAAAATCTATTTCCAATTGCTTCCTAGTCTTAAGATCATATACATATAAAACAGTTTGCTCAGTCAGACGATTGGATCATTTAGCTGAATTTTTCCTCTGTAAATAACTAGTAAGTTCCAAATATACAGAAAATTAAAAAGAGCTATAAGAAATTATTGATGCATTCTCTTATTTATTTTTATTTTTCTAAAAATTGTCAGCTGTGTGAGTATTTTGATTAGCCATGATTATTGAGAAATATATTTCTTTTTCAAGCTAAACCTGTTTCGGCAATGACTTCAACAACTTCATAGTATATTGTGTAATAATAACAATAGTAATAATGATAGCAATAATGATAATAGTAATAATAATAATCTGCCTCTTCTAATGTTAATCCAGTTCCTGTCAATTTTACAAATATTACTTTTGCAAAAAAATTACCATTCCCTAATTCATGTGCAGCTTCCACACACATGCAAGAAACTTTTTCTTCTTTGTTGCACTCATGTCACATTTTAAACCAGTTTACTTTGCCTTGAAGCCCAGGATGTGGGGCTCTTTCGGACTGTTGACATCTTAACAAGGGGGCAACCGAGGAAAACGAAGAGAAGGGAAGGGCTGCTTTCTTAGGGCCAAAGACCAAGGACAGTGAGCCATAAACAATTAGTTACTCTGGGTTTCTAATCTTGCTTTATGACTGTCCCCAGGCTGACAAGCCCCCATCTAAGAACAGCAAACATAGAAGGACGGTTTGAGATAGCACATGGAGCAGCTGGCACTGGTGTCTGTGGGACCACAATACACTGATCACTTCACCATTTCTTGAGCTTAATTGCTTTGTGACTCACATCGCTTCTACTTGTTGACACCAGGACTAACTTTGCAGATGGCACTTTGCACAGATGAACTGTGGAATCAGGATGTCACTTGGGGACAGACAGAAATTCCAGAAGGATGGCAGTAAGATTCTGCTTACATTGAGTAATTGCCGAAGAGCCAGATCCAACTTTGGGTGCACCTCACATAGGAGGATGACATTACATGTGAGCCTTTTCACAAGCTGGGTAGGATTAGATTTGACAAGTGCCTGCTAAGTATATTAGAACCCTATTATATCCTGTTCTGATGAAGGCTAGCCAGCCATTTTGGAGAAATAATTGAGATCTCTTGTGTTTACTAGAAGAGGCTTCAGAACAGATGTTAGTTTGTTATTTCACAGTGCTGCAAAAAAAGAGAGAAATGGCTCATGCTGAAATTCCCTTGTTTATAGAACAAAGTCGTGTCATCAGTAACATTTGATTACTCCAAATCAAAAAGTTTTCTGCCAAGAATTAGAAACCCCTTTTGGCTTTAGTTTCCTGCAAGGAAAGATAAATGGACCTTTGTAGTACAATGCTTGTGGAGATGGGCCTGCTGCTTGAGATAGATGTCCTATCAAATTGCCAAGGGCTGCGAGCCAGCTACTGTGGGTGGACCTCAAGAACTTGAACAGTGGAGAACTAATGTGATCAAAAGCCAGATTCATCCTGGAAAGTCAGCTCTCTTATTACGCCAGATAACAATCCAATCTCTCAGAAAATCTAGTAAATGGCTACCATCTCTTCTTGTAAAAGTATGTGGGAAAGATCTTGGTTTTTTTTTCAAGATTATGGTCAGATAAGAGACAGCATAGCCCACAGCTGGATAGTGGGTAGGGCAAGAGGCTCAGAAGAGAGCCTACCTAATTTTTTGGGCTGTAAAGGAGACGGTGGGAAAATTGTGCTTTCAGACTTGCAAGATTCTGTTCATGTAGCTTTACAATAAAGTAGAATTAGCTCATCTGGTCATGTTTCCTGTCTGGTCTACCTAGTAAGGCTCAATACTATGCAAATGGACTGTATTATATTGCCCCAAGTTTATAACAAAACTGAAGAAAAGAGTAAAGGCAAGCATTTATGCTGTCATTAACAGCCCTCCCACTAACTGGTAACAATGTCCAAGCAACATTAAAGCTGTTCTCTTTGCTCTTTCACTGTACTGTAGATAAAATTATGTGCTACAGCCTCTTTCATTCTCTTTGCATCAGTGGGTGCTTGCACTTGAGGGTTAGCAGCAGCTTGGAGGGGGTGTTTTTTCAAGACTATGGCAGGTGAAAGAGTTAATATACTCCTGATGTGCCACAGTCCACATGCTGTTTGAGCCCTTCCCTGGCAACTGTTTAAATTGTGTACAGCTACGTATGGGAACTGCTTACACACAGCTCGTGTAATATGTACTTTGACCAGTCCAGAGCCTTCCTTTATCCTTTCTTTCCTCGCAAATATTTCTTTTCTTTTCCATGGCAGGAGCAACCATAAGGAAATGATAATCTCTGTGAGTCTTCTTTGGAATTCTCATGTTTTCATGTCGATGAAAAAGCCAAACCTATCGAGAAGCTGGTTTCTTCTTGCCCTGGACCATTTTATGAGCAGAGGGGGGAAACAGCACCAAAACAGAAGGGAGAAAAATATCTGAGCTCTGGGAATTCCCCTCCAAAGATGGCCACAGAAAAATACTAGTGACATGGCCTTTTTTTCCCCTGCCAATCTTGTAGGTGGTGGTGTATATATCCATACTGTTGCAAGTATGGAGAGCCAACAGAGTATAGTGTGTGGGTGGACAATTTTTTCAGCCACAAGGGATGCACAGATCGTGAAATAATGACCAGGCAAGGTCCACACAAGCATGCATGTTTAATTGCATGCCGTGCTCCCATTCTCACCCGCCTTTTCTACTCACATTTCATCCCTCTGCCTTCTTTTTCTTCTCAGTGATCTTGAGCAAGGGAAACAGTGCTGGCTTCCTCTCCCTTTTAATGATCTGCCAAAGATTGGGAATTTTTAACTGCTATTAGTAGTGGGGAAAGTAGCAATTTACTTCTCAAGCAGCCAGTTTATCAGGTAATAAACCGACTCACTTATTGGCAATAGGAAAGCGGTGATCATTTCTCTACTAGTTTTAGGGAAAGTGGATTGACTTCCCCACACCCCCCTGGGTCTCACTTCTGGTGGTAAGGGGCTGCCTGTTGACAGTGAGGAAGGTTGAACCTGGGCTAAAGATACCTAGGCTGTAAGGTCAGTTTCCTGGAGGGTGATGAAAATTCTTAGGTGATCCTTGGTCAGTCTTTCTGCTTCAGCCAAACTCATTCCAAGGTTGTTGTGAGGTGACTCCTCTGTTAGCACATCACCCTTTGGAGTATTCAAAAATGATTTTTCCAAAAGGAAGAAAAACAAAAACAAAATTTCATCTGCAAATCAAGCTGCTATTAATGGAATAGAAACAGATCATGAATCTTTAGGAATGAGCCTATTCCTGCTCTCTTTCACCTTCTTAGATAGCAGGACTCATGATGTTGCCTGGTGAATTAACGTATCAGCAACAGACCATCTCTGCTTCTGAAAAGAGTATTTTCAAAGGTTATATGAGCCCAGTCAGCAACTTGTATTTAACAGCAGAAAATATATTTTGAACTGAACAAGGGCTGAAGGCTCAGCCTCACTGATTCTGCCTAATTCCTGTCCTACACAAAGAAAAGGCTCTGGGAAACTTGCCTGCCTATACCTACTCATCTCTCTCTCTTGGTGCATGCTTAATCCGCTGAGATTAGAAACTATGCTGGTGTCCAGATTAGCCTCCAAGGCCTCCAGTTACCAACTGCTACTTTATCATTTTTCTTTGTTCTTCTGCCTTTCTCCCAGATGACATATTATTTTCTACTCCATTGTGACATTTTTCTAGAAACCTCCTATCAAAATGTGAGCTTATGCAAGTGATAAAGAAGGTGTGAAAGCTACATGCATCATTCCAATGTTTCCCAGGGTAAGGATAATGGTGAAATGGAGATAAATGCAGGACAAACTAATGAATAGGAGGAACAATTCCACACATCATTCCATAAAAACTTGCCCTTTTATGGATAACAACCTGCAGAATTCCCAGCTAACACCATCATGGTATGGAATTCTAGGAACTGGAGGCCATTTCATCTGGAGGGCCATCAGGTTGCGAAGGCTGGTAGGAGCTAATAAAATAGTCAATGGATATAAAAGAAGAGAATTGAGAAAACTAAGAAAGAAAATGTGGATTCATTGGCTTCAAAGGAGCTCCTGCCATATACTGAGAAGATGAACTTCCAACCGAAACTGTATCAGGCTTTGTTTGTTTGCACAGCAGGGTAAAAGTCCATGAAATGACAGACTGGTCCTTTTGGTTCCCGCAAAGCCTGTGTGCACAGTGATGAGAAGCAGTCATAAAAATAGTCCTCAGTCTCCACCTCCACTCAAACCTGAAATGGGACCAGGTGCTTTTGCCCTAAAGCATTCTCCCATATGTCTGAGCTCCCAAGAGCTTAGCTGAGACAGGCCAATTTGCCTTGAATCAGCTACATTGTCAGATGTGTCTGAAATGGATGTCATTTGTTTCTGTCATTTATTAACTGGCAACAACTTGATCACTGGTTTCCTACTCCCACTTTTTTTATTGCAGCATTCTTTCTGAATTCTACACTACCAACTTTCACAGTGGACACCATCTTCCTTCACTAAGTGCTGTATTGGGGTGAATCTTTATTTTAGTCAGGCTTCCCAGGAGTTGGATCCAAAGCCATTTGCTAACACTGGGCAGTTGAAGCTCAGTAGCCCATCTCATGCACACACCTCTTTTTTTCACACTCTCAGTCTAAATATGTTCATGTTTTTTTTTTTAGTACAAACAGAAGTGGATTGTCATTGCCATTTTCCAGGATGCTTTTTTACTTTCTAGGTTAAGCCAACAATCTTGCAATTTCCTGGTCATCTTCTGTCCAAGTACTAACTTGGTCCAATGCTTCTTAGTTCTTTAACATCAGCCAAGGCTGGCTAGGTACTGCTACTTGCTGAGACATATCAAGGGATGAGACACTGCAAATTAAAACTTAGCTAGGTTTTCTGGTCAATCCTCCCTGTAAATATCTAGATGTCTGTTGTACTTGCACTGCATTTTTAAAATGTATATTAAATGTATTTATCCTGAAAAAGAGGTGCAATCAGGAGCTAGCTACCAGCATCTGGTGGCTGTCTAAGAACAAGATCCATCAAAGTGCCATCCTAAGCATGCTTCTTTCACCTTTTGCCAGTAGGGGGAGCAAGGATATCAAGTACTGACATAAAAGCACAAGAAGATGCTACAACTGAATTGTAAAGTGTGAGCTCTTGCCAGTAGCTCCAGTGTCAATCTTATTAGAAGAGAGAAGGATGTAAAACTGCAGAGCTTAAAATAGAACTTTTGAAGAGATGCAAGCTGGAAAGAAAAATAGGAGGACCTAAGAAAATGTGCCATTATCTGTCCCTTGTAGTAAGGTCCTGTTTCAAGTGGACTGTTATTTCTGAAAATACACCTAGTTTTGTACGAAGCAATACCCAACCCTGCTCAATCAAACTCCTTGAATCAGTTTGTATTTCAGATCTGATGCTGTGCATTTTTTCCCCTCATCCCTTCATTTTAGATGGCATAAATCTTGAACAGATTTATTAATATTTTGATGAAATCAGCAAATGAAGTGTTTTAAAAAAAGATGCTTCCCATAGAATAATCTGGGATAGCAGAGTCTAGAACCCTCAGGACAGAGAGAAGGGGAACAGAAAACGGAGCCCTCCATGTGACTAAGGTCATAGTGTGAAGCAAGGCACCCATGTCACAAAGATGACTGTGGTGGCCCTGAGTGGCAAATGATTGCTCACATGAATGAAACCTATTCAACTAATAGCAACTGTCCTAGAATTGTAGAGTTGGAAATTACCACTTAGGCCATCGAGTCCAGCTTCTTGCTCAGTGGAGGAATCCTGGGTAAAGCATCCCTGACAGATGGCAGCCCAGCCACTGCAGGTCAAAGGAAGCTCATCAAATCTCTGGGACATTAGTTTTACTACTACTACTACTACTACTATTACTACTACTACTACTACTGTTGGTTGCACAGTCACCCAGATGTTTAGACTGGATTTGGCATTTTTATCAACCTATCAAGTCCTTCCTGAGGACCTGGGATAGGCAGATGTTGTTGTCTGATGGTGTTAAAGGTATCGCTGCAGGATGGAAGCTGTTCCAAGTAGAGCTGCCTTTTGCTATTGACTGATGATGATTTTGTCAACGCCAATGGTCTTCAAGTGGTGCTCCAGATGTTTTGGGGTTGTATCCAAGGCACCTATTACTACTGGTACTGTCTTTGCTTTCTTTTGCCACAGTCCTTCTACTTCTATTTGCAGGTCTTTGTATTTTGTGATTTTCCCCAGTTCTTTCTCTTCTCTTCTGCCGTCCTTCTACTTCTATTTGCAGGTCTTTGTATTTTGTGATTTTCCCCAGTTCTTTCTCTTCTCTTCTGCCGTCCTTCTACTTCTATTTGCAGGTCTTTGTATTTTGTGATTTTCCCCAGTTCTTTCTCTTCTCTTCTGCCGTCTCCAGGTATTGCAGTGTCCACTATCCAGACTTTTTTGTCTTTCTCATCAACAAG